AAAAAGCACATTTTGATAAAAGAGAAAAGTTGGGAGGTTGAATCAAAGCATATCTCAGTAGCTTAGTACATGTAAGATTCATAAATAAATTAAGACACAAATGTAGTTTCATTTGTCTGAGCACAAGGTTTTATTTTAGTCCCACTTCTCAAGAATCAGTGATTTGCTAGTTATATAGCTGATTATAGTTCGGGGAACAGACACAGTCTCTATAGTATGATCTCTAGGTGAAAGAGACTGTGTAAAAACAGAAAAGTCCTGAGTAAACAGGAAAAATTGAGATGTGATTGAAGTTTGTGTCTCTCAAGCATCAGGCATCAGCACCTTTATTAATACTTGTTTGGTATTCATTAATTATGAGAAATATACTCACTTCAGATGGTAAATGCAGTGTATAAGAGGTTTTGGTGAGAGCGCGGGTGCAGCTCCACATTATCTGAACGAACTAACGAGAATATTCAGTACGACACTGAACATCATGACATAATCTGTAACCTGTTAGTTCTTCAGTATCTTCAGTGTGTTTGATTCTGCAGGGTTCTGGATCTCTCTTTAATAAACTCAGTCTTTGCAGATTTCAGCTCTTCCTGATGATTAGATGCTCGTCTTCACTTGTGAACTGATGGGAATATTACAGCATTTATTGGTGAAGGTGTGATTGTTGTGGGAGGAGCTTCACTGAACCTGCATTTCTGTGTGGAAGAAGCAGATTTGCCTAAATCAACAAAAAAATCAGTTTACTTATTATTTTTTACATAGCAGTGGCGTAACTTTGCTTTGAAAAGTGGTGGGGACACCGCGCAACTCGTTTTGCTAGTTTTTTTATTTAATAACCTAATTTACTTGGGGACTGGGTTTAGAGTTGGAAAAACTTAATTTTCACTTTTCAAAAATACATCGATGTACACATGCATCACAAATCTGTCTATAAACATCCGAATAACCAAAATAAAAATATTCACAACATCTAGGGTCATCATACCAATCAAAATACGCAAGATAAATATGGCGAACTTACCATTTCATAGTCAGCTCAGCTGCAGCTATTCATTAATTCCACAGTTTTTGTGTGTATTAAGATTAATTCTACATCTAATTGCTTTCATAATTTCTCTTAATACCAGAACTTGCTAACTTGCAGGTGTGATGCCGAACATGGAAGAATGAACATTACGTCATTAAGTCTGACAACTACAACGCCCACAAAAATTTTCCTCATCCAGTCAATTAATTTAACCAATCATGAACTACGCAAAACTTTGTGTAAAACATGAATGAAAGTTTATTCGTGTTTAAATTGTTTTAACTATCTTATAAATAATGAAAGAAATGAAAGTGTGCAACGATTCTTTTTTTTCTTAAGTTTTTTTAAGCCCCATTTTACCTCCCCCACCCCACATGTAAAGGCTAGTTAACGGTAAATATAAATGCTAAAACCCTAAACAAAATGTCAAAGAGAAAGTGTGGAACTGGAAGTGACATAAGAAGTTTTTTAGTAAAGCAGCCACGCACAGTAAGTATCTTTGCTTAACACTAAACATATTATATTTAATTAAACATACGTGAATATGGGCATAATGTAGCTAATCATGTTTTTGGCGGCCACTGAAGCACTGTGATTTAATACAAAACTGAATGAATGTACTACGGACTTAAAGACATGTATAATTTTTTATATATAATTTTATAATTGTTATAATTTTGAAAATCCCAGTCATAACATAGAATTGGGATGTTGTTTAAAAGTGCTGTAATTGTCATTCAGCCTTCAATGATGGACAAATGACAATATATTGCTTATGTTTGCAAATGTAAACATTTAGATCCTGGGTTGAACTTGTCAATTTTGTCCCAGAATCATACAGATGTGCCTACTGACAAAGAACAAGAACAGGGAGCAGAAAATGTAGAGGTAAGACTAAAATACAGTACTAACATTGTTGACTACAATTACAATACATAATTTAAATAAAATGTATAAATAAAATTCATGTTGCAGTACATATTTTTTTATATTTTTATTATAATACACATTTTACATAGTTCATATGAATTAAAATAATATTAAAAGTATTTACACAACTCCAAACGAAGATCATTCACATAATTGTTTATAATTTGTCATGCATAAATTAAATTCATATCGCATATTACCGTATAACTTTTTTTTTTAAAGCTATAGAAAATTATATAACACTCAACTATTTAACATACAACAACTATTTACAAAATAGGCATTCATCATTGCTTATATAAAATTGCTAAAAGTTAATTTGAACTATTTTCAGAGGCAGGCAGCTGATAGCTTGGGAGAGGCAGGGCAAAACTTGACTGTGGAGATCACAGAGCCGCAGCAATCAATCCAGCCAACTCCTTCAATAGAGTCAGGAAAGCAGGCACCTGAAAAATACCCAACAACTGAACCATTTCAGCCTGATTCTAAACGCATTGAAGTTCAGAAGTTGACAAACAAAACTCTTAGATTTCAGGACAGCTGGTTCAAAAGCTTCCCATGGCTGCACTACTGCTCTGAACTTAAAGGAGTACTGTGTTTTTATTGCATTAATGCCTTCTCCAAACAGACGTCCGCATTGGCCAAAAATGCAGAGCAAGCATTCATTGCTCAAGGCTTCCGTAACTGGAAACATGGTCCACAAGCCTTTGAGAAGCATACGAACAGCAAAGCACACAACATTGCAGTGAACACATTCATACACTCAGAAAGGTCGATAAAAGTGCAACTGTCCAACATTTCAAAAACAGCACAAGAGGAGGCAAGTTTAAATTTGTTAAAGGTAGTGATTGCTATTAAATACCTGACCCAACAAGGCTTGCCTCTGAGGGGACACAACCAAGAGGAAGGACATTTCCACCAGCTTCTCCTCTTCATGACAGAGAGTGTTCCTTGTCTGGCAAGCTGGCTCAAACGAAATCACTGCTACACAAGCCCTGTGATTCAAAATTAAATAATGAATTTATTGAGCAACAGCATAATTCGCAAAATTGCACAGGAAATTGCTGCTTTACCAGTCGTGCAATATTCAATAATAATGGATGGGACGCAGGACATCAGTGGTGTTGAGAAAGTGTCTATCTGCATACATTATGTTAACACAGACCTGGAACCAAGAGAGGAGTTTGTTGGCCTTTATGAAGCTTCTTCCACAACTGGTGAGCAAATAGGCAAGATTGCTTCTGATGTCCTCCTCCGTCTAAACCTTCCCTTTTCCAGTCTGCGTGGTCAAACCTACGATGGAGCAGCCAACATGTCTGGGCAACCGCTTGCTACCTTTGTTCATTGTGGCCCCCACTGTGTGAACTTGGTCACACAAGCAGCCTGTTCAGCCGCACCAATAATTCGGGATTCTCTGCAATGGATCCATGAGCTGGGCTGTTTATTTGGCCAGTCAGGCAAATTTAAAACAATTTTTAAGTCTGTGGCAAAATCTACATCTGGCTGCTATACAACACTGAAACCCTTGTGTCCAACTAGATGGACAGTGCGTACACCAGCCATCAATTCTGTCCTCACCCAATATGAAGCTGTCTTGACAGCACTGGAGAAAATGGCATCATCCAGCACACATGACACTGCCTCCAAAGCCAATGGCCTTCGTGAGCGTTTCCAGAAAGGAAACACTGTCCTTGGACTGCTGTTGACACAGGACATCATGATAGGCCTTGAAGGCCTGAACACCTCACTGCAAGGGAGAGAAGCAACAGTCGGAGGCATGCTAAGTGCAGTTGAGTGTGTCAAAAATGGCTTTCAGAACAAAAGATCAGATGTAAGTTTCAGAGAGCTCTACATACAGGCATCTGAGGTGGTAACATCACTGGACCTTGAGGCAATAACAGTACCACATTTAAGAAGGCCTTCTACAAGACATGCTGGCCCAGCTCAGCCCTACATTCCGACTACAGCTGAGGAGTACTATCGTGTGCAGTTCTTCCTAGTTCTTGATACAGTGATGACACAGCTGACACATCGATTTGAACAGGAGGGTCTGCGCAACATTGTCATGCTTGAAAATGTCCTAATCTCTGGACAAGTCAACGACATTGTTGAACTGTACCCAGAGCTGGAATCCCAGTCCCTAAAGGTGCAGATGGCCATGTTTCGTGCAAATTATAAATACCAAAGTTGTACAGAAGTGGTCAATATTTTGAAGAACATGGTACCTGAGGTCCGTAGACTCTTCAAGCAAGTGGAGACTCTGGTCCTCTTACTTATCTAGCGTAGCGTTAGTTCTGGCAGGTCACGTTAGAAGCTCTCATCAGCTGACTCTCAGCTGATCCCCATCAACCTATGGGAATACGACATCTATCTAAGCATTCATATATAAGGTCCCTCAGTATTATCAGCAGTTTTCGCATTGCTCAATAGCTAATTACCCTTCTCCATCCCCAACTCCTCCTCTGTCAGTCGGGATTCAGCCTTCTGATTCTCCCTTGAATCAGACTTATTCTAAAATGTGTACATAACATTATTGAACTTTAACAATATCTGCAATATATTTATGCTGGTTCTGTTCTGTTTACCCTGGGGGGTTATTGCTGCTCTCCCTGCTCTCATCCATGCTAGGCTGAAGGGATGCGCAGGGAGTTCTTGCCCAGAACAGAACCATACCGCCAATCCAAACTGTATGCTAATTGTCAATCATCTTTGACGATAGTGGTCCTGACAGAAATGCCCTATAAACAATTGATATTATGGGGGAGGGGTCAAGCAACGCAAGCAATGCACAAACTGTGCATAAGAGTTATGCCGGTGAACGTCAGTCAATTCACTATAGAGAAAGTGAAAGTAAAAAAAAGTATTTATAATTTTAATTATAGGCCTATACTTCATTGTATAAATAAATAGCCCTGTTTAAAAAAAAAATATTTTTAAAAGCATCTTCAATGAGGAGTAAGCTAATAGCCTAAATTTTAATTATCCTCACAGCGCATCATGCGGTGATGCGCTATGAAATTATTGCGGGGCAATAATTTCATGTAATTTAATAATAAAAGTAACCTAATAATAATAATAATAGGCCTAATAATAAGAAGAATGTAACAGGCCTACATCAATTGGAAATGCTAAATCCTCTTAATATTGCCAATTTTTGATGCTTTTGACAATATCTCTGGCTATCATCGACACATGATACGACGCATCTCAGCACGGGGAGGTTATCGCGGGGCCCCCCTGCAGTGTGTGCCCTGCGTGCCTGTCCACTATGCCACTGTGTGGAAATAGTTGTATAAATTGTCGCCACTTTATCTATTGTAAAAAATTGTTAGAATTTACCATGTTTTCCTGCCAGTTGGCATTTAGAGTGACTGACACTTGATGGTAAAAAAAAGACTAAATAGATAGTGTAAAAAAAAGAAAGTAAAACAATGAAAAAAGAAAAAAAAATCCCTACTTTCTCTCTTTTCTATGTGCGTTCGTAAATTGTATTAATTTTGTAAGTGTCATATTTGGCAGTTGGCATTAGAAGTTATATTACTAATAACAGTGGCATATGAGAAGTTTAATAGCACAGAAAAAAAATTAAATTTGCCTTTTTCGAAGCTGCTGTATATAAAAAACACAAGGTGGCTGATTTTGCATGCTATTTAGATAGCTGAAGACGTTCATTACTTTCACTCAATTTAATTATTTTTTTTGCACCCCCTCTGAACTGTTAAGCCCCTCCTTAGCACCCCCGACAAAAAAAATCCTGGAGCCGCCACTGGGAACGTGTGGGAGCGTGATAATATGTCGTGGCCACGAGATCATTTTGTCGAGATAATTGTATGGAGATGATGACATCCAGGAATTGGGGCAGACATTGCCATACTTACAAATAACAAGGTCACATTTGATTTTACTAAAAATAAACAAAACATAACGGAAATTCAGTATATGTGTCACGAATCTGGTCTATGAACTTCAATTCACTCACCACCAGAGGTCAGCCTTCCATTACATTGACTCTCGCACTACACAGTCAAGTCAAGTATCAGCTGATTTGCCAGAGCCTCGACATGTCTCAGCTGATCATCCAGAGTCACGTCACATCACAGCTGATCATCCAGAGTCACGTCACATCACAGCTGATCATCCAGAGTCACGTCACATCACAGTTGATCATCCAGAGTCACATCACATCACAGCTGGTCATCCAGAGGTTACTTCCTGTCTCCTGCACCCAGAAGTCCGAGGTCAGTTCGTCTGTATCCCAGACTGGCATCCAGCGTGGAGGACCCACTGCTGGTGTCGGCGATGGAGACCGTCTGTGAATATTCGTCCTGTCCTGACACGGCTATGAAGGCCGTCTATGAACTCTGACTGTCCTGTCTCGGCTAAGGAGACCGTCTGTGAACTCTCTGCCTGTCCTGTCACGGCTATGGAGGCCATCTCTATGTCACGAATCCGGTCTATGAACTTAAATTCACTCACCACCAGAGGTCACCCTTCCATTACATTGACTCTCGCACTACACAAACTGTTGCATGTCATCCCGACTCTACTGTCTGTTCCGATCCCACTGTCAATACCAATTTAGTACTGTCAATCTATGAACATGTTATTTGCCCCATTAGTCCAGTCACGATCCCAGAAACCTTACCTGAACTCCCTGTAGGCTCTAGTAGCCTTGTCACAGCCCAAAAATCCTCCTTTGAACTCTTAGCTCTGTCTGTCATGAACTCAAGGACTATAAATGCACGTGTCTGTCTCTTTAACTCTGTCACTGCCGTAGAGAACATTGATGAACTTCTTGTGTTCGCTGCCTTGGCCCCTGAAACCATGAATGCACTGCCTGCATTGGCTGTCTCTGTTTTCCCTAGGCCCCAGTCTCTGCCATGGGTCCCGGCTCTGCCATGGTGGTCTTCTGCTCCACCATGGTGGTCTGCTGTCTGGCTCTGGTGGTCTTCTGCTCCACCGTGGTGGTCTGCTGTCTGGCCTGTTTGCCAATGTTTGATTTATGCCTGTTTCTGACCACGTCTCCAGAATAAAGCTTTGCACATGGATCCGCACGTCTCACGTCTCGTCAGCCCCGTAACAATGTGTGTTATTTGCTATTAATCATTTCATGGGACTATGACTAGTGTAGTTGTCATATCAGACACAGTTAACAATGACATTTTACACATTTGTGACTCTGATGAGAGCAGTCTCAGTACTATGATACGGTCTAAATCCTGACTGGAAATCCTCAGAGATACCATTTCTCACCAAGAAGGAACATAGCTGAGAGGATACTGCCTTTTCTAGTATTTTTGACAGAAAAGGGAGATTTGAGATCCGTTTGTAATTAACTAGTTGTGTAATTAACTAGTTGTGTTTTTTTAATGAGAGGCTTAATAACAGCCAGTTTGAAGGTTTTAGGGACATATCCTAAAGACATTGATGAATTAATAATATTCAGAAGAGGATCTATGACTAGTATCGATAACTAGTATCTAGTATCGATCTTGTAAGTAAAGAAGCGATACGATATGATATTTGCAGATACCTCAAAAAATTCTGATACGAATTTGATACGATTCAATTCTGGAGTATACCAATCGATTTATCGATGTTTGATATTATTTTAAACAACCATCTACATTTTTATTAACTCACAAATGCAACCAAAATATATAGCATGAACATTTATCTGAAATTTCCACATCCTGTACCTCAGTTGGGACATTCACAACAAAAAATAGGCCTACACTTTTATTTAAATAATAAAGAAAAATAAATAATTGGAAAAAAAAAAAAATCAAGTCACACATGAGATCAGTAATCTTATGACATTACAACAGTCAAGAAAGTCTTTCAGGCGTCTGTGCTTAAACGTGCAATGTGTAATATAGTGTAAATCCTCATTAGGAAACAACAAAAACAAGGTACTCCAGTTGTAGAAAAATTAATGAATGTAGAAAAATAAATGTTAATTTTTTAGCTTTTTTTGGCTGCTACTATGGGCTCAGTGCTAAGAATCTTTTCTACAAATAACCAAATTACAAGCAATAGCAGAAAATAAATAAAATATAACAAAGACACAAATTAAAGGGGTCCTATTATGCTCTTTTACAAAGTCTTGATTTTGTTTTGGGGGTGTACTAGAACAGGCTCTCATACTAGGTTGTTCAAAAAACACATTATTTTTCACATATTTTACATTATTACAACACCTCTCTCCCCAGTCTGACATGAACGGCTCGAATAGTTCCTGTATCAAATGAAGGCCCGCCTTCTGAAATACGAAATGTGCTGTGATTGGTTAGCTGGGCCAGTGTGTGTTGTGATTGGCAGCACTCGGCGCCTGGTCGGGAAATGTCATGCCCCTTACCATAGCTGCTAGCTTCAGTGTAAATATAGCCTCAAAATCAAATCAAATCAAATATTGCCTCAAAATCAAATCAATTTGAGCGCGATTTAAACCTGGATGATCGTAACTACTCTAAGTTCGTCTGCCTTGGGAAAGATAGCGTGTCTCCGACATAGTGATAACACTCGTTGCCTTCTCTAGTGCAGCTCAACCAGGTCTCATCCCATTCGTCGATATTTGTGATATATATCGAAAATATGCGTTGTAGTCCAAACGAGTCGTTCGTTGTAGTTTTTGAAAAGTGATTTCTGTTAAATAAAATATCTCCTTTTGAAGTGGACTTTGAGCAAACGGTGCATTTCAAGTTTTTCATGTAGGTCTAAAATAAGTTTTTTGGTACAGAAATGAAAGAATTGTATGTAATATAACGCTGCATAGTCTTCACTGTATAAATTAAATATAGAGTAATCCTTATTAGAGTTACAAAAGTTATTCAGTCAAGAGCAGTGAGAGATTGTTTTTTCTTTGACAGCAGCAAGTTTATTTTAGTCTCCTTTCCCTTTAAGACTGAAAACACAGATCCAATATACTGATACACATGCGTTCTCTTTCAAAAGGGAACTCCACGCTGCGTTCCCTAGGGGCCGCTATGGGGAATGCCTCCAGCATGACCGCTGTCTGAAGGCATTGGCAGGTGGCAGCCTATTACGTAATTAATGGAGCGACTGTGGGTATAAAAGGGAACCTGTGGAATACGTCATCCTCTTCTTTGTCTTCAGAGTAGTTTGTTTCTGAAGTGTGTAGGTAAGAATGATGTCTTTTGTAAAGCATTTTAGGAAGTGTGCGGATCCGTGTCAGCACTGCACCACAGATCTGGCTCTAAGGGCCACCAAGCAAACAGCTGCCGTGATCGGTAGGTCGATGGCGGCAATGGTTGCCACTGA